TTTGTACCATTTTTGTGTGAATTGAAATTCCCGGGGGTGGGGGGTGGAACTCACCTGTGTTAAACATCTACAAGGTGGATTGCTTAAAATTTCTGTGATTATAGAGAGCTGGAATGCTGCAGGTCCGGAACCAATTATCTTGAGCTTCCTTTAGCCATCTAAATAGGCATTTATTGCCCAGACTGTGTTTAACTTAACACTCTCGTGGCTATCAGTAAACTCCTTTTTTAAAAAATATGTTGACAGTGAGATTACAAAGATGGTTCAGTGGCTGAGAGCACATACCTCCTAGCAAAGGACTCAAATTCAACTCCCAGCACCCACATCAGGCATCTCACAACCACCTGCAATTCCAGTTCCACTTCTGCAGGCACTTGTATTCACGTGCACATACCCACACAGAGATACAACAAAATACAAAATACAAATTTTAAGAATATACAAACAGACCTCTAGCTACCACCAACTCAATGGCTAAGAATTTCATCAGTCAGCATCTGAGGGCTAGAGAAGTTTCCTCAGTTTGCTTGTAGCTCACTTATCTGATATTCCCACTAATGTATTTTTAAAGTATCTTGATTTATGATTTTCTTTGTCCTCTTACTTCATGAAACTGTTCCCAGCAGTTTCACCTAAATTTTTATTCCTGGGCCATGACCACTCATATTTGGCTGCAGAATAAATTGTGTCTTATTCTCTGAGATTAGACAGTTCTGCATTAATACTTGAAGCAACAATGAATGATTGGAAGTTGTTCCAAAGTTCAACTTGTGAGAGGTAGTTGCTCCCATACTAAAAGTGAGAATTTGGTAAACCAAAGGATTATGGACTGGCAATACCCATGAAAGAACTAAAACCATAAAGAACTAATGAACTGGATTCTGGAAAGAGAGAGTTTTTTTTTTTTAATGAGAAAAACGCTGTGGCTGTTTTCACTTCTGATAAAAATCTTGGGAGGAGAAATCTATCATAAAAAAATGAGGAAAAATGCTAACAGTCATATGTGGGCTGTCATAATATATCAGAGGAGCCTTCACAACAGAGTGGTCTGTGCATATCCCCAGAATGCAAATGAAAGGCAGGGTGTGGATCCAAAAACCTGTAATCCCAGCGTTAGGAGTGGGAGTGGAAATAGGGGGATCTCAGAATCTTGCTGGCCAGCCAGGCTAGGCAAATCAATGAATTCGGGATTCAGTGAGAAAAGCTGCTCCCAAAATAAAGTGGAAAGTAATTGAGATAGATAGTTGATTTTGGCTTCTGAACACACACACACACACACACACACAAAAGAAGCAAAACAAATTTCATATTGGGTACTATACTTAGAACATTACATCTAAAAAACGTAATTGTCAAATATTATATCAAAATATAATTTATGAATATAACATCCAAGTTAAATATAATTGTGCAAATATAATTTGTACAATGAAAACTATAAAATATTCTTTAGAGAAATTAAAGATCCACATGAATGCAAAGCTGTAACAAGTTCGTAGATTGACAAATATTGTTCATAAGTTTACTGCTAAATTTTACCTATACTTTAAACTTAATATTAAAATATAAGCAGGTTTTTTAGGAATTTGACATAATGCATATATGATTATGTGGGGAAAGCCCAGAATCTTATCCATAAATATTTATTTAAAATATTATATTATTTATTTATTTCCCTGAGGCAAGATCATTCTATGTTGCACAGGATGTCTTTAAACTCCTTGGCTCAAGCAAACATCCAACATCAGAGATGATTAAATCTTAAAAATGCATATTTATGGTATATACAGTTGTAATAGGGCTCAAGACCTTAGTGGTCCCTGAGACCTTAGGACAACTGGCTCCATGGTGGAAGTACCATTCAGGCTAATGAAACTCAGCATATAGACAGCACCACCTGCCAAAACTAAAACAAAGGCCTAATACATCAAAGCCCACAGTTCTAGGAAAGTTTCTAAATGTACTACTTTTGCTTTTGACTTCTCTAGTCCTGCTTCTGGCTAACTGTTCTTGTCAACGCAGAACATGGTTTTGTGCTTAAAAACTCAACCTTAGAAAGGTTCAGTGCTACACTGGGATCCCAAATACCCAGTGTAGTCACAGGCTGACTTATAAAAGACTTTCTACTGGCTTAAACCCATGTCTGGGCAGTCTTCTCTGGCAAATACCCCACAACACTGTGATATTTGGACAAATTTACACAACTGTAAAGATGCATAGGCTAATCTGTACAGTGAACATTTTGTTTAGTGTTGTAACTGTTTGTTGCAGCCCTTTATAGCAGAAATATTTGGACAGGCAATATGTAAACGTTTATGGGCATTTAACAAAGGAATCAATCCATAATTTAGACAAATCAGACTCCTCCAGCGGTGTCAAAAAGACCATGCCATGACCATAGCCTGACAGGAACAGAGCAGCCCCAGATCTACCCATGATAAAAAACTGGGTATGATTCCCAGCCCCAAGATATGCTGGGCATCTACATGTTACCTATAGGACCTCCATGGGCCTCTGAGGGATCTAGCATTTGCATAGAAGCTGCCTCCCAATCCTTCCTCTCAGACTCCATGGAACTATCCAGACCATAGTTTTAGAGGGCCCTATAGCCAGGTGCAATATGTCCATGACTACATTTGAGCAGACTACCAGCAAGTCATCCAGCCTGTTCTGTGAGTGGCCCACACCCGGTGCAGAGTAAATTACACCCAGAATTACCCCAGCCCCGAAGATCAAGAGAGAGGCCTGCACACAGAAACTGCTCCCTACCAAAGCTCCTAGGAGACCAGCTCTATCACACACCACCTAACAAAGCTGGAGCTTCTGAGGAATCCTTGGAACATCTTGCAGAGTTGAGATGTTCAGGGTCTGCAGGCTCCATCCACAGCTACTGTGTTTAGACTCCATAGCAACCACCTAGGAACCTCCAAACCCAAGGAACTCTAAAAACTAGCAATTTGCCAGAGGAATTACACAATGTCTTCATCACTCATCCTACAAACAGCTATGGAGGTGGTGAAATCTGTGAACTTTTTGTTGGTGAATGGCTTCAAACTGCAACTGACATATATGAGATAGAATCTGAGGTACTGACAGCATTAAATAGTTGGAGCACTGCCTTAAAGATAAGATAGTAATGATAGTCATAGCAATCGGCCCCAAAGCAACAGCCCCAAATGCAAACAGGATGTGGAAGGCATTGCCTCTCAGCTGGACAAGGATGAGCATGGCTTATTTACTGAGTACATTTATGGAATGGTGCAAATTGTTTTCATAAAAAAAGTAACTATGAATTTCAGATTCATCCCTGTGCTCTTCCCAAATGCCAAGAAGGAGCATATGCCCACTTGACTTCAGAACACTCATGTTTCCAGCTCATCCAAGAAGGAAAATCCTGCTGCAGCTGCTCCAAAAGGAAAAGCATGTAGCTCCTTCCTGAGGTCCTCTGCTCACCCTTCAGGTAATAACCTTGTGGCATCAGTAATCTCCAGATCAGTAGGACCCGATTTTCACAGTGTTCTTCTAGCTAAGGCTGGGTCATGGCATTCAAGGCTATTTCTCAATGTCTCCTGGGGGCATTCAGGGCCCAGAACACCTCTTCTGCAGAGTTCCCTGTCTCCTAACTCTTTGAATGCTCTGTATTTCCTGCCTTTGGAAAGCACACAAGGTACCATGTCCTCATGAGTCTGAGTTGTCCACACTGGGCTTCCAGGACTTAGTGAGTAGATACTACAGGGGATGGCAGCAAACACATATGACCACAAACTCTGTTATCACCTCAACTACTTTATGTGTTTGACAGATACTTGTGTGTCCTCAGATCAAACTGATTTATGTTCAAATAATAAAATGGAATTTAAAGCAATTTTACTTAGAGTAATTGAATCTCTGATAGAGACACTAAGCAACCATGAAGACTTGCACTGACTTATGAAAACTTACATATAGACCAGCTTATTACTTAAAATCTGGAATGAATTGAGTTAGACTAAGGTGATAGGTGGTCCAGGAAATGTATGGCTGTATCTGACAACATGGACAAGAATTCTAATCATAATCACATATAATTAGCATGATGGCCAAGATTTGCTACTGGAAAGGAAGCCACAATAATCAAGTGAACAAGATGCTTCATCCAATGGATGTCAATCAGCCTTGGTTCAGATCAACTAGTGTTTGTTTAATGAGCCAGCCATGATGAAGACATGAAAGTTTATGAGATAAAAAAATGAATTTTTCCCTCTCTCCTTGGTCTCTTAAGCCACTGATTGCACAGCTGCCATTAGTGGGGACTAAACATCCACAGATTTTTAATATTACTTATTATTTTGGAGCACTTCTTCCACACAGAGAAGAGCAATTCCTCTTCACAGAGTTAGGTAATTAACATAAAACCATATCTTGTTGAGGAAGTATTTCAGGCATGCTTCCCATGATCTCTTCTTGGAGCACAAAATTAAAAATCTGTAGTTAAAACTAACACAGGTGATCAAAAAGCATGCTGTTTTAAGAAACATATTCCTCTCTATGATACAGATGGACATCTACATGTAAGATTAGAATGTTTCCATTCTGTAATCATCAGATTGGTCTACCACTGACCCCAGCACCTTAGGTTTCTAACAAGGTAGCACACTGAATCTGAAGGAGACTAATTTAAACAGTTTGGACCATATGGGGAAATAAGGATAAATTGTTGTCTTAAAAAGGAGCAAGCATCTGAGTTTTCTGTTTTCATTAGTGCTGTAACAACCTAAAGAAGAGAAGGCAACATATGTTCTGAAACTGTCTTTGTCAGCATCCATTTGCCTCTGAATTGTGAAACATAAACTATTTGGTCTTTGCAAGCACTCTACAAACTAGCCAGTTCAAAACTTCTCTTATTGAACAATACACAGTAGGAGCCAAAGTACTAGGAAAATTAGAAATTAAAAAAATTTACATACTATAGCCTACCAATGGCCACTATCACGATGTAAGCAAAATATTAGATTACTCACCCAAATGTGATTTAATCAATGCAAAAGTGTCAGCATGTCCTTGCTCTTTCCAGGTTCTCAGAAACAATACCATGGAAGTCAATGATGCTGTGTGATAAGAAATGAGAAGGGCAGAGCTAAACTAGCAGCCAGTTCAATCACAGTGCATAATTCAAATTAGTAAACCTGAGCCAAGCCAAGGCAAGTCAGCACCAGAAACTGGAAGCCTTTATGAGGTCAGTCTAGTAGCTCTACTCCCTCATGAAGGAAATCCCCTCACTTAACATTGCACAAGACCAACTTGATTTTTTTCTTTCAGCTTTATTGAAGTATAAATAGCAAACTAAAACTGTCTATATTTAAGGTGTGCAAGTTAATATTTGACATACAAAACCTGAATTGCCACAATCAAACTAGTTTGCATATGTATTACCTTGTTTATAACATTTTTGTGGTAAGTACTCATGAGAACTATCTACTAAGCACATTTAAGAGAGAATGTTAATGTGGCTACCTTGTATATTTCATCTATAAAATTTAGTCATCTTGCACAGCTAAAATGTTGATTAGCTATCACCTCATTTCTTCCTTGTCCTGGTTCGTTGCATACAGGGCAAACACTGTTCTACTCTCTATTTTTACTATGCATGTGTGAATGAGATGCAATATTCATCTTTCTATGTCTGACATTTACATCCCATGAGATACATTAGATGCCAGATGTGGAACTACAGGATTTAAAATCTTCCCCTCTGTTTTGTCTTTCTTCAGTCCCATCACACCTTGTTAATCTGGAATTTTCTTTCAGAATGAGAATGTTTATTCTGTGCTGTATTTGCACAATCACAGCTCAGAGTGGCTTTGGGTCTTAGAAGAGGCTGAACTCCGAATTTTTAAAGAATATTAGTACTGGTAAGGACTTGGAGAGTCTGGAAATGGACTAAATGCATTCTGCGTTATGGATGCTCCTGAACCTGTGAAGGCCAAGGGTGCAGTGCTGTGGTTTGAATATGAAATGCCTCTCACAGAATCATGTGTTGGACACATGATCATCAGGTGATGGCTCTGTCTTGGAAACCTCTGGAAACTTTAGGAGCTGAAGGAAATATACCACAGGGATCTTCTTGTTCCTGATTCCTTCCTGTCCCACCCACAGCATCCCAGACAAGGTAAAGAAGGTCCTCAGTAAAGAAGGTCCTCAGTCACCGTGATGTTCTGTCTCTTTATGGCCAGAAACAGAGACTGGAAGCCACTACCTGACTCCACTGAAACTATCAGCTAAAATAAATATTATCTTCTTTAAGCTATTCAGTTAAGTATTTTGGTCATAGCAATAATAAGTAACTGGAGATAATTAATGAAAATTGATAAGATATACATTCTATCAGGATAAAAAATCAAAACCATGTCATCATCTTGATAGATTCAAAAATAAACATTTTACAAAATTCAACAATTTATTAATGATAAAGAATACTACTGGAGCTGGGCGGTAGTGGCGCACGCCTTTAATCCCAGCACTCGGGAGGCAGAGCCAGGCGGATCTCTGTGAGTTC